GAACGTGTTCAGCCTCCACAAGAGAAGGCTGAGGGGGGATCTAGTGGCCTGGTACAAACTAGTCAGAGGGGTCCAGCAGGCACTGGGGAAGTCCCTGTTCCCCCAAGCACTACCAGGAGTGACCAGGAATAACTGTCACAAGCTGGCAGAGGGTAGATTTAGGCTAAACATCAGGAAGCGCTACTTCACGGTCAGGGTGGCTAGGATCTGGAACCAACTTCTAAGCTAAGTGGTGCTGGCTCCTACCCTGGGGGTCTTTAAGAGGAGGCTGGATGAACACCTTGCTGGGGTTGTTTGACCCCAGTACTCTTTCTTGCCATGGCAGGGGTTCGGACTTGATCTGCTCAGGTCCTTTCCGACCCTACTAACTATGAAACTATGAAACAATAAGTCTTACAGCACCCTTCTGAGGTCCATGAATATGATTATCCCCTTGATCTCTGATGAGGAAGCTGAGGCACAGAAAAGTTAAGTGATTTGCCCAGAGATTCTGTAGCAGACCTAGAACTCCAGCGCAGGTCTCCAGACTCCCCTGTACTTTTATCTCCAGGCCACAATTCCTATTCTGCTGTCTCTATACTATTTATTGCCCTTTTATAATGTTTATTGCCCCTAAGATTTTCTACTTATGTTGTGTTTTAAAAGAAAAAAGTTCACTAAATACCATAAACCACTGAGTGAGTTGCAACAGTCTATGCTGATCCTTGGCCATATTCCCACTCCTGGTAGCTGATGCTTCAGCCTAGTCAAATTTAAGACAGACAGACCTGCCTACACTAGACTGCACAGGAGTTAGGGAGTGTAGAGTGATTCTTAAGGCCTCAAATCAGCAGCAGTGAGTGAACACTAAATTTAACCTCAGGTGGAAACCATGGGACCTGAGGTGGGGAAAAAAAGAATCATCAGTCTTATTCCAATTTGGGGAAAGCACTGAGGTTTGACACCTCTGGTTTTAGCTGGTAAATAGTATTAATTTCTAGAGATTGAAAAAAAAAATAGCAGGATTGCAGTCAATGCCATCCAGCAAGAACTTTCAACAACATCATTGCCCATGCAGAAGGGACTCCTGTGAGTAGTTAGTAGGAAATTCAGTGTATGTGCATTCAAACCTGGGCTGATTCAAACACCAGCCCTAATGCATTTAATATGGCTATAGGCCTCAGGAACAACTGTAGTCATCTTACTTATGTAAGGCCCCTCACTTAACGAATTGACTTCACCAGGTTAATAGTCAACAAACTAGACTTTTGCCCTTTACTTCAGTAAGATAAAGATGTGGTCCACAACTTTAACTCAATAATTTAACATTTCCAGGATTCAGGTATAACAAAGAACAGAAAGCAAGGGGGGAATATCCTCTGACAATGTATGTTGCAGTATTTCATACTTCCACATGCCTTTGTTCTTCATTCTGTATTTTAATTCATGTGATGAAGTTTTCAGACAGAAGTGGATGTCATATGTGTAAGCTGAGTTCCTTGTTTTTTCTTTTGCCTGTCACTGGCTGCATGTTCTCTATTGATGTCTTGTTCCTGGTACTTGACACTGACCATCTTGTCTGTGAAAGGAAGCACTTCAGCTGGCTTGCCTGATAAGAAGAAAGGGAAGTTTGCTTGGTTTAGTCACTCCACAGAAACCCATGGTAATGTTTCACTGCGTAATGTGTCCATAACACGTGTCTGTTTGTGTGTGTGTGTGTGTGTGTATGTGTGTGTGTGAGCGCATGTGTGTGCATGTGTATCTATATGTATATATCTCTATCTATATATAAATAGATAGATATAATATATATATAATTACACACACACGTGCATGATATATATCTATAGTATCTGTGTCTGTGTGTGTGTATATGTATATATATGTATATATATCTATATATATATAGATAGATATAGTATCTGTGTATATTTATACATGTGTGTATCTTGCTCTTTCCATTTGCTTGCACAGCATCCTGTACTTGTGTTTGAGGTAATAAGCTCTCTTGCAAATCAACCTCCTGCTAATGTCTTCAGAACTGTTTTCCATTTGCAATCAAGCTCAAATACATTTTGATAGTGCTTCGCCTCATAACTGATTTACATCCCAAATATCAATGTTTTGTTTTCCTGGAGTGGTCAGTCTGTATGAAAAAAAATGTTAACCATGTGTGTTGGTTTCTTCTGCAGTTTAGGTGCCTATTTGTTATGCTTCATAATATGAATCCCCTTCTCTTCTTAAGTTGTCTCTCCAAAGACTTAAGCTAGGAGCACCTGTATGATGGAAAGATACAGTGCATTTGGTGGTGCAATGCTCTGAAATACCATATAGATGCTTGAGATAATTGGGTTGGGATAACGGGAAAATTCTACAGTTTAGGAGGCATCTCTGTTATAATTCTTATGAAGCTAAAATGCAGGTTGTGTTTGGAAGGGTCCTCAGATATCTCTCCAGGTGCATAAAGAAGGCCTGGTCATATCACCTATTGGGCAACTGCCCCGCTGAAAAGCAAAGCATACTTGTCCTCAGATGTTAATTATGCACTTTCTCTGATGGCAACAATAAAATATATACTCTTATTAACATAAAGCATGTTGTAAGAGCCCATTAGCTGCCTTTCCATCTGATATGTCTAGCTATCTATCTGTTACTGTTCTGAAAGCTGGACACCTGTCCAACTCATATGTTGTTGAGCTTCAAAAGTCATTTCTTTGTTTTCAAATTCATTCTGTGCACTCAGGGCAGGAAAGAAGGAAAGGCACATTTAAAGAGGCTCTTTTATATTGCATCTGATCTCAGACAATCAGATGCTAAGGAGTTTTATTGTAACTCCTCAAGGAAGGGACAAGCAGGAAGGAACTTGGAGGGAGTGGAAATTGAAGAAGGAATAAAAGGTTCAGGGGGTAAATAAAAGCAACGAAGTCTATCACTTATTCAAATCCAGATTGGGTAGATGCAGATGTAAGGTTGTTATCAACTAATGGCTGTTCAGTGGTATTCATAAAATCAATTAGTGGACTTAGTCTGACTCTTAGGTAGGCAGTATTCACACAAATAGTCATTTCTTATTAGCCTCTTTGTTAGTAGCACCAGAAGCATTTAACTTGAAATGGGCTGTAAAGACCAAACTACTCTGTCTTCACTGTGGGGCTCTTCCTGTTCCTGCAAGGCTGAGGCACATTGAGTGGGGTATATCAGGGAGGCCTGCATCTCTGCTGCTTATGCTGGATGTTCCTTTAGGATAAGTAGAAGACTTTGGTCTGAAGCATCATCAGTTTGGTATTTTCCATGAGCCTTCAACCTACCACAACACCAATGTTCATGTGTTTAATGTATACCAGCACAAGTGTAAGACTGCTTTTTTTAATGTTCCACTGAATTCAGTGAAAATCCCTTTGCTGGTTTTGCTGAATTTTCCCTTCAGTTTCCATTGAACCTATTTATAAGGCTTCAAAGAGCCAATTCACAGAAGGGAGGAGAGCAGCTGCACTTATCCCATTTTTTATTTGATTGGGGGATTTGTATCTAAAGGGTCTAAACTGGTCACTCAGCAAGCTACCTAAGGCTTATATCCTGCTACTCAGAGCCCTTTTGCTAAGCTGGTTCCTCTAGTATCATAATTTACTAATACAGGGTTTTTATCTGATTGTCAACACTTTCTTTATTCTTCTCTTTTCTTTGTCCATCATAGTGAGCATGCCCACAAGTGAGACGGAGTCTGTAAACACAGACAATGTGGCTGGAGCTGACATTGAAGGAGAAAACTGTGGTGCAAGGCTGGCGTGAGTACATTTACAGTCCAAACATATATTGCTCCTCCTGTGGGCAGGATTAATTTCAAAGGTTAAGGCCCTGCATCTTAAGTGTAAACTTAGGGTTCTTTAAAGGAGAAAATAAATGGAAAGTTGATTATGAACTCTAATGGGACAGATTCTGATATTGGTCATAGCAGGGAAATTCAGACTGAATCTGAATCCCAAAGGAGAGATTTTGGAAATACATAATGCTTAAAAAAATCAAAATCTAATCCAGCATAAAGAGAGCTGTTGCTATGAAATCTGTAAACAAATTGTTGATGAAAATAGTTTTCTTAATTAAACACTCTCCTTTAATGATGGATAGTCAGATTGAATAACATTGCTCTAGTGCATGGAAACCAAAGAGTGAGACTGACTAATCTATTTTAATTAAGAGAGCAAAGTGCAAAACAAATTGCAAGCATTAGATATAATATAAAGCCATTTTGATTTTAATAATTTATTCAGGTTTAAAATATTCAAGCATTATTAATAAAATGGGTAATGGATTGAGATACCTGATCCCAATTCTGTATGCTTTCCTCACATCAGCATTCCTCTTGGCATCAAGAACTGGAGGATCAGCCCCTAAGTATTAAAATCCCTGTCTCCTTAAAAATGATGGATTCTGTTTCAGAATTCTGGGTATGTTTTCAACTCTGTGCACAAGGCTTTTGTCAGGATTAATGGATTTGTCCTACTCGTCATATTCTCATTACTGCACATTGTATGGGTTTTCCTATTATAAAAATGTTAATGATGGCATTGGCTGCCCTCCTCTATGCTACTCCTTTCCAGTTCTAGGCAAGATGCTACAATAGTATAGAAATACCTTAGGCAGGACAAATATGTGTTTTTTTCCTCTAATGGCCCATATAAAGGATTTGGACACAATGCAAAATGTAGTAGGCTGTATTAAGGAAGGTATTTAGATATCTTGTGCTGTGGTGTAGCAGGTTCTTATGTGGGAGCAGTTAGGACAGGGGCAGGCAAAAGGAGTCTTCTTTGTCCCTCCCAAATAGCTTATGTAAAAGGGGGTCACACTGCAGACTCAAGGAATGTGTCACTGCCTGGAACTACCCTGCAGAGGTAGGGAATATACAGTA